AGAAGCGAAAGAATCGCTGGCAAGGCACAAGTGTCTATGTGAGATTCGGACTGTTGTAGGCTGAGCGGCCCTCCTAGGCGTCTAGAAATCTCAAAAATGTGCACAGACTCCGCGTCATCCGCTTCCGCCCGCTTATCCATGACGGGAGCCAGCAACAACGGCCAGGGCAGCATCCGACCTGAGCTCTGCCGACAATGTCTGGCAAGGCGATTTAGCAAATTAAAAGGTTTTTAATGCATGGAGTGCTCTCTTACTTACTTCATAATTTAATGCCAACTGTGCCATGCAAATGCGAGTACGGCTGAGTCCCCAGGACGAGCCAGGATCCGAAATCCGAATTCTGAAATCCACAACTCGCTTCAGTGGGCTGTCTTTTATTTTTATCCAAGACTTTTATTTTTGTTCTTATGCAAGGGTTTCCCTTCTGAGTTTTCGGTAGGCCCTGTGTAATTTCCTCTTTGACTACTGCAGACGAACAATTTATAAGCTTCGTCGGCAGCAGTCAAAGGATGCGAGGAATTTGTTTTTTAATTGCAAAAAAAATGAAAATAAATAACCGAGATCTCCCTGATACTGCTATGAGGCGGAATTGAATATGATTTTTTCAGTTTAAAATCTGCAATACAAACGGCATCGCTGTAGGTAATTTAAAAGTTAATTTCCTCGCAAAATAAGCGCTTATTACAGAAGTTAACATCCGATTTAACACCCCCTCTCCTGACTCCCCACACCTGAGCCACCAAATCTAAATGAAGTAATCTATGCAAACCCCTTAAAACGCTACCGCAAATTACACACTTGACTGCGACAGCTACACACGTTCGGCACAATGACACATCGCGGGAACATGGTAAATGGGAAATGGGAAATGCCGAGCGAAGCCTTATTTTGCACACACAACAACTGTCACGTGCTCCGTGTTGAGTGCTTTGTTCTGGAAAATTTCGCAGGTCGGAAAATTCGCAAGTGAGTGGTGTGAGCAGCTTACACCCTCTTTTTGCCAGTCCTGTCAGCCAATTTCCCTAATATTGGGTTATTGGGTTGTGTACTTCTGCGGGTTTCGGCGGTAATGGAGATCTGGGCATTAGTAAGTCCTTTGCCAACATTGAAGCTTATGAATGTTCAATTGCCTCCTGCAAAGGCAGGCATTTAAATACGCTTTGCAATTGCCAAAATGACAGTTGAATTTTTGATAAATGTCGACGCGTGTCCCTTGTGAGCAACAACACAGCACACTGCGCCTCAGAAGGAGGGTGTCCGTTGTGCAGATTTTATAGCTCGGAAAATGGCATGCAAGTGAAGTTTGCGTCCTCACGGCTCTGGGCTATTTCTTGTGACTTAAGGGCGCTACTTTCGACAAATGAAGCCACTTTCGCAGGATGGTTTGGGGCATTTCAAGGATGTGTTCGAAAGGGAAATGTTTTCTTACAGAGCTCGGGGGTAGGGAACCCTGAAGACTAGAAAACCAAACCGAAGCCACGGAGTATAATTATTAATATAAATTCGTAAAAAGGATAAAATTCAAACTATTCTATACTTCACAAATAAATTCGAAATACAATTTCCGGTTATTTACTATCTCCCAGCCAACCTTCCGAAGTCAATGCAAAGACAAACTTGGACGGTCGCAAGAGGCATGCCTTGGCCAGGATAAGAAATTTGAAGAACAACTAAAAATTCCTGAGCTGGCAAATAATAATAATTTTGTATACAGTCCTTGGACTCCGAGCCCTCCCCCTCCTTCCTGCTGGGCTACCCGAAGAGGTCAGACTACGCCTTTGTTTATGACGCAGTAATATTGAAATCAGGATAATTGTGCAAAAGGATGTGAAGAAAAAACCGCAAATACTTTGGGTCCACAGCAAAGTACCAGTCCCAAGTAGTCATTCATTCCGTAACGAAGATATCTCGAGAGCAATTTCAGTGCGACAAAAACTGAAAGCAGGCAGGGCGGGCAGGAGGCGCAGGCAGGGCTGGCGGAGGCTGAAGTGGAGTGAAAAACTCTACCATGCAGAAAGTGGTCAACATTTTTGCCACTGCCATGGGCAAGAATAAAAGACGTCGCCCGGCAAATGCAATCCGAGTGCAGCAAAAAGGTAGCAATCATGGTGCCGAGTAGTCGTCGAATAATAATAACCTCCATCCTAGTTTCTACTCTGTGCTGCTTAGCAGTGGCAGCTCTTGCGGTAATAAACCATAAGACATTCCCCGTGGCACATTCTCGTAAATGTGGCAGTGAAAGGCGAATTAAAATGAGCACTCAGCTCAGAAATATAAGCAGTTAAGTCGAGTTATACGAGTAGTGCTGGGATTCTGGATGGGAAAATAGAATAATAGTTCAAACATCCAGTCAGAGTGCGCATTAAGGGATATGTCATCAAGGATCCTTCCTAAGAGTTAGTGCGGTTCATCAGATTGTCCAATTCATTTCATCATAGCATCACTTTCTCCTTCCAACCTTACGTTGTATTGCACTACAATAGGAATCAAAAGCACCTTAGACCCAAAAAAGCCTTCTCTCTTCCAATCAACCCTATTCTAAGTCCGAGCCTAAAAAATAACCTCAAATTAGCATTCATACTGCTGCTCATCAGAGCCGCTGTCGCCGTCTCGTCGTGGCCGTCAAGCGCATCTCAAAGGACGTTCTTTCATAATTAATTCTCACACAGGGAAATGTTCAAAGATATTTTTGCACTTTTGCACAACCACCCTGGCCACCATGGCCACCTCCTGCCACATCCTCCGTGCACCTGCCTTTCTAAATACGCTGCTTGTGTGGCAACGTCAGAAGCAGCGACAGCCGAAAACAAAGCAAAATGCAAAATGCTAAATGCGGCGAAAAATCAAAAAGAAAAGCGTGCAAAAATAAAACATGTTTACCTCTACGATTTGACTGCTACTTTTTCATGCGGGTGGGTGGATATGCAAATTTCCCTTGTCTTGTATGTCTGCCACGGGACGAGTTCCGATGCTCGGTGGGCTGAATGGGATTGGGTTAGCTGGCGTTGGCTCTGCTCTGCTGCCATGATTTATATACTCACGGCGTGCGCGTATTTATCAAACTCTAATTAATCGGTGATAAACCGATCAAGACGCTAAATGCTGCACTACACGAAGCCGCCAAGACACCGACGACTCTCTGTAGACTGCAGACTCTCACAGCGGATCTGCACTTTGCGCCTGGAAACGGGTTTGGAGCACCCCTTCCAGAAACCGGGCTCCGATTGCTTTTACATTTCTGGTTTCTGTTTCGCAGTGCACCGATTACCATGTGATTCCGTACTCCCTGCCAGCTCCCTGCCACCGCCTCGTCTCTGGCCCCTGTGCCCACTCCGTTTTGGGAGTAAGAGTATTTGTTAAAGCAATTTGCTTTCCTGCATCTTGTGGCTGACCAAGGCGACTGCGATGCAATCAATATATGCTCGTGTCCAGCAAATAATAGACTTCAAACTGGCATTTTAAGCGTTTCTTTTTCATAGCCAACGTCCCAGTACGAAGTGCGACTGGGGCCACGAGGAGTCCAGCGAGCGTTTTGGGGATACGATAATTTCATTCCTCTCTCAGTGGGCAGAAGGCTTTTCCCCCAAATGCTCACATAGTTAGAGTTAAAAATAGTTAGCTCTGCGTTGAACTTACAGGGGGCTCCATCAAGGCCAAGCTGACTTTTCCCGAAGAGCCCAGCCACACCGAAATCACTTCCCATCACCACAGCCTGAGCATCCTGTATATGTCATAGCCAAGAACTCTAATCCACTTTGGCAAATCAATTTATTAGCCACGTATGACTTATGCCTTTTTAAATGTGCGCTTGCATGTGTTGCCTAGTTTAGGGTTAAGCGTCTGCAGCGCGGCTGTGAGTAAGCTCAGACGCGGGGCTCACACAAACTGAGGAGGCGCAGGAAATTTATGTTAACATGGCCTGCGTAGCGCCCTCTGGTGTGTAATTTGGCGTTGTTTAGGTATCACGATTACGATTCGACTTCAACTGGGTTTCTCCGACCCCAAGCCGGTGCAAATAGACCGTAAAATACGAGCACTCGAATATGTGCTTTGCAATAGCTGACTGGGTGTAAGCCATCATTATCTCTACCATAAATGATATGTGCGAGGGAAACCCAGTTCTACGGGAGACTATTTAAGCGTGTGAATCGACTGGTGGGAGTGGTGTGTGCTCTGATCTTAGCCACGTTTATTTATAGGTGTGTAAAAGGGACCAGAGGCTCCTTACGTCTCTGAGCGCTCCCAATCACAAAGTCAACAAATGGGAAAAAGTTTGGGGTATCAATTATCCAGCTAAGCGGCACCCGTTGCCAAAAAATATTGGCCAAGAAATTGTTTAGTTCCTAGTTTAACTTCTCGGACAGCTTCCGCCATCTGCCGATCCGTACATAAGCGCTGAGTATAAATTGAAAAAGCCATTTGCTGCCAATTTAGCAAGCACTTAAACCAATTTTGCACTTCAATCCACCGACGCACACAAAAAAGGAAAGTCTCACACTGCCCCCGTTCAGCTCCAGCTGAAGCCACACACTGGCACATCCCGGATCCTAGGCGAATGACAGTCCAGGCAGCTTGCATCGACGCCGACATTGACGCGGCAACAAGGACGTCCCAAAGTCAGTTGCCCTGCCCCCCCTGAAGGGAATGTGTAGGAAGCATCCAAAACGTTGCCAACAAAGTGTGAAAATGTCAAGTCGTAAAGTGTGCACTTGCCACGAGCAAGGAGCGGGCGGCGAGAAGGGATTCCGTCTGCAAAGTGAAATGCTGGCGAGGATGTGGGTCGTCTTGACTCCCTTATCTGTCCAGGCAGTTTTAATTTAATAGTGTACTTTGGAGTGGTATCAGCATTTAGGGCGGGAGGAAACTCAGTCTGGACTTCTCTGGCATAGCTCATCGCAAGCAGGGAGGAGAGTGGAGTAATATGGCAATTTAGGAGTTCCCTAAGGCTACCAAGTAGCTACCTCTGAATAGACTATCATATGAGGTCGATTCTGACAGAGCCAAAAATACCGAAACGAATCGAAAAATGTCCTGTATCTGCCAATTCTATGCGCCCGGCGAGGACACAAACAGAGATCTAGTGACGGTTCCTCTGCCTACCTCTGATGACATTTCCTCATCCCAAAACCCAACAGCTGAGTAAGTGATCTTTGGGTTATCACATCGTAGACTCGCTCTGTTCTTCAATTTATAGTGCCGACGAATCGTTGGAGTCCACTGCTCTCAAGACAGGAGTGTCGGCCTCAGATCTGTCCGACTGCCGGGCAGAGAATTGGATCCTTACGAAGAAGTTGCGAGAGTACGAGGTAACCATTGAGAATCTGGAGCAGCTGGTTACCACCATTGTTGAGAAACAGCATCAAATCTTGACCGAAATGTTCCACTTGCGCAAGGAGAACCGAGAGCTGCAGTCCGAGTGCCATCTTCAACGTGAGTACCACTCCATGGAGAGGAACGCACTGATGAGGGAGCTGCATGATGCTCAGACCCGAAGATTCCTCTTGGTCAGTATGCAATCTCCCTCAGAAACATTCGTGATACATTTTCCAAAAGCAGGGATGCAGATCGAATGAAAGTAAAGGCAGTTTGAGTTGTACACCGACAGAGCCGCCTATTAAATCAGCATCTTCTAATGAAGACTGTGATGAGACCGAGACGAGTGAGTCTGAAGACGAGGATTTAGGAAAAGACGGGAGTGACGCGTCTTCGGATGAGGAAGACCAAGACTCAGCACCAAGTTCAGGTCAAAATTCCGGAAGCACATCTCCGTCTTTAACGGACTTATCATGTGACACCGATTCGGATGACAACAGATCCAGTGATTACAGAAGCCGTAGGGATAGCCCCCTCAGTGATAGCGACACAGACTGACCACTAGCACCTCTTCCAATTCCTTAATGTATATTTTATATGAGGAAATACATTGTAAACTTTAAAACCTATTCCTGAGCGGGGAAACTGCTTTAACTTTCCATCTATCGCATTAAGTAATCAGACCAAAAACGTGACAATCGCACAAAACAAACCAACAATAAATTTGGCATGACGTGACGGTAGCAGTCTGTCAAACAGACATGGCTGTGCAAGGAACAAACGCATCAAATGAGAAAAATGAAGAAAACCTGTGCCAAGTATTTGCATATCAAATCGCTAAAGGGCTGTGAAAAAGCTTGGCTGGAGTGCTCTCCAGGTTGATGCCACACAAATATGATTGAATGGCTGGCAAATATATGGTCGGCAGATAGGGGGAGTATTTAAATTACTGGCAAAACCGTGTTAAGTGTTTATCTATCGAAAAAGGAGAAGGCGGAACCCACCAGCAAGCCCTTTTATAGCTCCTGGCTTTATTTTACTTGGTACTTGGCCCCAAACAATGCGGCAAGAGAAGCGAGAATGTGTGCTTGTATGCCCCGCCATTTATCAAGCTGCAAAGTTTTTAGCACAAATGAGTCGTGGCAAGGCAGCTCAGCCAAGGTCCCGGCCACCCGTTTGCCACCAGGATTAATGAGTCTCGTGTGCTTCTGCTGGTGCCTGTCCTATTCTACATCCTTGAAACCCGCCTCACAACACGTACCAATAATCCATCATCAGCCCTCTCCAAGTGGCAACTTGTGGAAGCTTTTGGCTTGTTCTCCAGATCGCTTATCTGGGTCTGGGCCGAGGTTCTTGGATACCATATATGGGCTGTGATAACAACTGAAGCTGTGATATGCCATCAATGACACTCATAAGCTGCCTGTTTCAAGGAAGCAGTCTGAAGAGAGCCTTAGATTGGCCCTAACAAAAGGGGAATAACAATGCAGCGGGTCTTTGGTGGCCAGCAATTATTAATGACCAACCGCCTCGACTCTATGCATATCGAGTCAAGAGCTGTTTGCAATATCATTTATCAGGCGAGAATTTTGTTCAGAAACTTGTTGCGCACAAAAAAGATTTTCGTGTACACGTGAGAATGGCAACGGATACCTCTGCACCTCAGACAGCTACCGAGAACTACCGCGGCACAAATGGCTCGGATAAGAGATGTGAAACCGAACAAGCCTTGAAAGAAAAGCGCGTACTTGCGGCAGAAGTGTATTAATATGCGATGCCGGGTTGGCAGCCTAAACGCTGGGCAAATCGCATCAAGAAAGGTGAGGCCCCTCGCACCGACTCGGCAACAAGTAGCTCCAAATTGCATGTGACTGAGCATAGGAACTCTCCGCTATGAGCTCTGGGGTAAGAGATTAATGGACTTCTGTTCCAGGCTACAACATTGCATTCTACTGGAGGTCTTGTTGGGAACAGACACATGACATCCGAGTGCTGCTAAGTGGTTGTTCGCTTGGCTTTGTGAATGACTAATATGCCCCATGCGTGAAAGGTACGAGACCATGCCAAAATAATTTGGTGGAAGGACAATCCGCAATCGGCAATCCGCCTGACATTATGCGATAAAAAACCGTATTTTCTGGATCAACGCCTACCTATTTACTCAACCGTGTAAATACACAAAACATCCGCAGAAAAACTGCAAAACGTATTCGCGTGTTCTAAGCAATTTCAAACCAATAATCGTCGGGTGTCTTTTAAATTAAGTAACCAGAGCCATGCAAGCCCAATATTGGGCCATATTGACATGCCTGTCAATACAGCGGCGATGTGTGTGATGGGAGGAGGCAAGGACTTTTTTTTGTTTTTGCATTAACTAATCTAAAATTAAAATCATTTTTCCACTCAGCCCACAGGAACTGAGGCCTAGGGACGAGAGAACGAACGAATGATACATGGCGATTGATGAACGACTGCCGAACAGAAGTCCCGACATACGCTACCATTTTGAGGTGGAGGCCAATGGGTACTCCTGTTTATGCTTTAATGAGAATGACAAACCAGCGGAGCGCAGAAACACATGATTAACAAATACTGGAAGACTCCTTGATCCTGGGCCCCTATATCTATAAGGGCAGGGGCGCTTTTCTACCCCAAATAAACAGTTTGATTTTAATCAATGAACCGCAAAGCCATATTCCTGAAAACGCTATCCAATGAAGCCAGACAGTAGAGTGTTCTCTCTGTGAATCGTAAGCCTTTTTCCGTTTATGCTGCGCCTCTCATTAAATTCATTTCGAATTTGGTTAGACACGGCAACTATGCAGCCGCCTTCAGCTGCAACTTTCTCCCTTGGGGTAACTGCCGAAAAGGAGAACTTTTCACTTAGTATAGAACACAAATACATACTCCCGTTTAGGGCTTCCTAGGGTTTCTCATGCATATTTATGCCACTTAATTTCTCCGTTAGCCGACTGAATGAAATCGAAGAGTATTTATTTCGGCGAATGAGTAAGCACAGCCCTGTGTTTGATTTCATTTCAAGGGCCTGAACCCCTTTCCTTGTCGTAATTAGAAGACCCCGGGCTTGTATTTTTACCTTTGTGCCCCATGCATATTTATGAGTATGGATTTAATAAACAATTCTGTGTATCTGTCTGATTATAGTTACTGCGAGGTCTGCGTATATAAAACGTAACAATTTTGTTGCCACAGAAGCACCAATTAACTGCAGCCAACTAAAGGCCGGGGAATAAAACGTTCCCTTATATATTTCGGAAAACGAGCCAAAGAAATGGCTACTTCTAATCGTTGCCACATGGGGCAAACACTTGTATGCCCCGACTAGACTTCGTAGCCCAACTGCAGCCTCCGAAAGTTAACAAGGAGAGCATACGATAAAGCGAATATTGAATCATACTGATTTGAGGGAGAAAACGATTTTCTAAATTGGGGAAAATAATATAGCGCGCAGCGAGGTGAACGAGAGTCGTGGAAAGTGCAACATGTGTTGCACCCAGAGTACCGGTGCGATTACGATCGTTATCACCAAATCAGCGGCAGGGGTTAATAGAGCTGTACACAACAGGGCGTGGAGGAGGCGAATGGAGTTAACGATCGATGCCAGCGAGGCAGCACACATGGCCTCTACTTTGGCCTCGCAGCCTCCAGCCATCGGTCTCCATCGGGCCCAGATGCAGCTGCGGTGGAGTTGGCCACATTATTTGCAGATCTCGCACCTTGGCTACCAGCGTGGCCAGCGAGTGGAAACGGCCAAGCCGCTCCGACCAGCCTGCACTTGACCACACTTATCCATCTTCTCTGAAAAATGTTGTGATAAAACTAGCGATCGGCAAGCAGGAAGATCGAAATCGCCGTTTGATCGCCTATTCGCTGTGCCATACTTCGATTATGGTTAAGTAGACAGCAAGCTACTTAACCCCCAGCTAAAGCGGTTGACTTTGACGATCAGCTCTTGCTGGAAGGAAGGTGGCAGGGGGCAAGGAGAGGGAGAGCCCACTGCGGATTATCTTGTTTTGGCGGGGCGTCATTTTTTAGTAAATTACTTTAATAGTATAAACATAATCATTTGTACTGCGGCTGCTGCTCAGCAAGGCAGCCAAGTACATGGCACCATTCAAGCGCGAGCTGGATGCTCACATTTCCCATCGGGGAGAGGGGCGGGCTTGGTTGTAATTTCATTCTAGTTACGAAGCTGTGATCGGTCGGATCACAGTTATCTGGCTAACAGTGAAAAATTGAAAATGGTACACACGCGAGGAGTGGGCCTGTGCTCGATGATGTCTGATGAGTCTAAAAAAATATTTAGAACTAAAAAATCGATGCGCTGAATAAAAACGTGTTTCCTAAACATCATCATCAATTTGTCCTATTCCATGGGACTTTTCCGCTTTCTCCCTGCGAGTTCAAAAGGTGAATTAAATTAAGCTGGAAGCTGCGATCCACAAATTCGAGAACTCAAAACGCAGCTGTCAATGTTTCTCCCTCTTTAACAAAAAGGTGTCCCTGGCAAGGACCTCATTTAAATTTTTAATCAATCTTATTTGCATACGCCGCAGCCCCATGTGTGTATACATATATCGCTTACCTGAGCACACAATATCGGCAGACAAGGATACGCGAGGATCGTCCGAAAGGGGATTAATTCAAGCAGCTGGATGCTGTGTTCCCTCGGAAAGGGTTGAAGCCCTCTCTGCGTCTTCCTCAAGCCGAAAATCATTTCGCGTAAAATTCGGTTTTCATAGGGAATAAAAAATGCACACAAATTTAAATAAAACAGCAAGTAAAGTGTTGCATAAAAGAAGAGAAACGAGCGAGGGAAAAGCGCGAAAACCACGAAAATATCTGCATAATTTATTGAAATTTCGTGCCACAGACAAAGGAGTCGAAACGGTACAAAAACCAAGAGCCAGGCACCCTAGTCCGAAATTGCAAGAAATGTGTTTCTATTTTCCCGCTGCTCGCTGCTCGGCGGTGCTCCATTCCGCATTATCCTTTCTGGCTTGTGTGCATTTATTTTTCATTTGCATGAATTTTTCATTGTTTTCCCAGACACGAAAGGAGCTGCCGCTAGGATGCACTTAACGCTCCATGGGATCAAGGACAAACACGCGATATTTGTCAGCGGGAAATCAGCTTGCAAATCGAGCTAAAATAAGTTGGGTTCTCGGTTCTATAAAGACATCCATCCTTTGAGTAAGCTCCGGAGGAGCATAGGTAAATATTTTTCGTTCTAATGTAGCAAAATCCATAACATTTTCTACTAGACTCCGACGTTTTTGTGGGAGAAGTGTAAACAGATTTCCACGCAATTTGTTGTCACTTGACGGACAGGCTTCTAAAGGGAAACTGCATTTAACAAGATAGATATTAGAACTAATCAAATTAGTTTAGGTGTATAATGCTGTACTAGAATATATTCCACGAATACAGAACAATGGCCAACTGCTTTCTTATTATTGAGGAACGAGCTCTCTCGATTCCCGCAAGGCCATCAGCCATTTTCCACGAATTTGGGGGTGAAGATACTTAGATTTAATCGAAAGCTAAATCCTTTACACGAGTGTGTCCATATCCTAACAACAACAATGGGAACGCATGCCCACCCACCACTGCATTGGGCTAGGAGAGGGTGGCCGCCCGGGTTGGTGGTGGTGCGCGGTGGTGGTATCTTTGGCGTCGGTGGTTGCTAAATGCAATTTATCATAAAAAGCAAGAGATAGAAGCTAGAAGCTTGAAATTGAAGCAGACGACCCCTTCGAGGAAGGGGGTGCACTAAGAGTCAAAGTTCGTTGGAAACAGAGGGGTGGCGAGGGCAGACATAGCAAACATGGCACACATAAAAACACCCACACACAGCTCATCTAATAAGACGCATTTAGCGTCTGTCAGTCTCGAGTGTGGAACGGAGGGCAGCCGAGAAGAAAGCAAATAGGAAAAGTTATGGAGCTGTAATAAATTGGATTAGTTCGAGAAGCGCCGCCATTTTGTCTTCCACGCTGAAATTTATAAGCACACACATACAGCAGGAGTGGGTGGGGGAGGGGGAGCGGGAGACCTTAACTACACATTTTGCAGGCCGCACGCTGTTTTTCATTTGGAAGGGATTAGCAGGGGCTTCAGGGGGACAAGGGGCAATAACAGGAGTGCGGGAGGAAGGAGGGCCCTTGAGAGCGCCACTTTCATTGAAGTACTCACTGAGGGACTGAAGAACTGAGGGACTGGGCCACCGCCATCTATCTGGCTGTAGGCTACGTGCCAAATCAAAATCAGATTCCCATTACTTTTTCCTCAACTCGCTCGAATTGCACTTGAATTTGCATATGAAAGCGATTCCGTTTTTCCTTTGTCCTGCCTAATATTTGGCACCTTCACATTTTTGTTTTTTAAATGATTCAATTCTGCGTTTTCGCTTTCAGATTATCTGTCATGTGAAATGCTTTCCCCTCGGCAGCATCCGACCTCGGCTTTCCCGCTCTCCCGCTTTCCTGATTCATCAATTGAATTCAGATATGCAAATTTTCCACCTCTTTTCAATCCTATCCACGCCGATAATATTTCTTTGAGCAGCTGCCTTAAATAGAGCTCATATTTTTCTATTACCATATGAGCTATTCATTTTGCCGCAGGCAATGAAGTGAATCATAAGTTTTTTGGCTTGTTCTTGACTGTTTATAAGTTTTGATTTTGGAATTATGCATTTTAAACTGAAGAAAAATATAAAGTATTGGGTAACTATAGGAGTTACCTTTACTGCTAATTAAATTGAGTAGAAAACCCTATAGGAAGTTACCTTAACATTCTGAAAATGACTTGCTTTAATGTGATAGATAAGTGGAAGCTTTCAAAACTAATATTGTTTTAACTCATCTATAGTTAGAGCATCACTGTAAGTGTCTTCTTGAACTGAAACTTAATTTGTAATTTACATCAGTCGGAGAAAGCCGAAACCCCTTGCGACGGCTATATTACTTATCCCCAGCCCGTTCCTGCCCGCTGGCTGTTAATTTATTTAACGGCCGAGCTTCTGAGGCCGCGCTTACCCCACATATCAAAGCTTCGTTTGCCATCAAATGGATTTCATTTTGAAATCCAATAACTGCCAAAAGGAAACATTCTCCAGCCAGGACAACCCTTTTAGTCACTATCTACCCGTGGCAGCGTGGTGTATATATCGTAAAATGAAACATTTTCGGAGTACATAATGTAAGATGCTGTGTATGTGTGTGTGTGTAATCGTATACAGACACTGTGTATTTCGCACTTTACGCAATTTTTCCCCGCCAGCGCGAAAAGGGTTGAAAGTGCGTATGGACTTGGAAGGACAAACACCCCAACAGCAAGCACACGCACACGCTCTGCGGCGTTGCCAGACTGTCATCACGGGCATCCCGCCTTCATCGTTCCCTAGCACCGCCGTCCGTCCTGAAACCCTTTCTTTGACGGACTTCGCTCGGTGTTGGCGGCGGCCATTATTATTTTACTTTCCCGCTCTTTCACTCGCTCCGGACCCCCACTCCCCCGAGGCTTGAGTCCGCAGCCTCGGCATCCCCTTCGTTTTCTTCGACGTTTTCGTAATTTTCTTAAAAATATTTTGGCAGTAAACTTTCTAGATTTAAGCCCTTCCTTCCCCTCAACTCCCAAGGACCCGGCAAACCATTCCGGAGGTTTTGTGGTTTGCACGGCTTTACGGCAGCTCCCACCAAACCCTTCCGCTGCTCCACTCACCTCCTCCTTCTGCCCACAACTGCGACCAGGGAACTCGCGTTTTAATCTCATTTTATGAAATGAAAATTTTTCAATTTTTCGACAAGAGATAAACTTTTTCTACTTGAATGCGTAATTACTCGGCTTTCGAATGAAAATGCTGTGAATTTTCGTCGGGTTCTTTGCTGACTTTTGTTGGTCACCATTGCCGCTGGTGATGCGAAGCTGAGCTGCCGCCCCTGCTGCGGTAAGCGTCGTCGTTGCCGCCGCCGTTGCCGTTGCCACTGTATCCGCTAGCGCTGATTTCCATAATGGCGGACGATAGAGGCATAACTGTTAAGATTATTAAAACGAGCACAAGCTGAAGTACAGGCTGACTTATGATGTGGTCAGTTGGCCGCTCATTATCACGTTGATGAAAGGGGTCACCGGGGGCAGGAGCATTAAAAGCAGTGGCTTGTATACAGAAAATCCCTTTCCCATGGTATAAAAGATCGGAAAAGCGAAATAAAATATATTCACAGTTAGAAATGTAGTAGCGAAAGTAATGGCAATCTAAAAAATTTTTCAAGCACCCTGTGCCTCTATATGCAGCCGCATGTGGATAAAAACCCAAAAAAAAGAAGGAAAAGCCGAGCAAAACGGAAAACAAAAAGTCTGAAGATGGTGAAAAAGTTTTCCCTAACTTTGTTTTTGCTTAATGAGCAAACATCCATACACACGTTTCGCCAGAAAACGCATTAAAAAATGCGTTAAGGGCGCGTTGCCAAGGGCCCAGAAGAACAAATATTAATTTCTTGGCGTAAGCGGCCTACGACCACACACACAAGACTCACAGACATGCATTCTCCAAAAAAAATCAAGTATATTTAAAAATGTTTCGGATTTTGGGGAGTTCGAAGGACTCCAGATAGTCTAGTCAGGGGTTGATTCGAATGATGCCCTGCACTTTTTGGAAGTGTCGAGTCTCTCGACTATCCATTGCCATATAAAGTTAAAGGGAAAAGCTACTGTATTTCCCGGACTAGATAACTCGGTTTACATTCTCCTTAACTGCACTCCCTCTTTCTTGATTAAATAACTAGTTTTAAGATGCATGAATTTATTTCATCCAAGGGCTGTTCGGTAATAATTTCTCTACAAGAGTATTCTATGCTCGACCCTAAGTGTTTTTTTATCTTTTTTTTTGTTTTTACCTTTTTTTCTTGACAGAAAGGACGAAAAATTCTCCAGAGCAAAACGTTAAGAAATTAGCATCGGGCAGTGGCACTGCAAACACATGTCGCGTTGGGTGTTGCCTTCCATCGCTCGCCACCCCCCATAAATCCTCCCGCTGAACATCTCCTGTTCCTCACGCACCCACACTTCGCAATTGACATAAATTATTTAGACTCATTTAATGTGCCGCTGCTGAAGCATCGCTTTTTACGATTTTCAATTTTTATTTCGCTTTTCTTGCCACCCTTCAAATGCCTTTTTGTTCCTTGCCTTCGTTTAGTTTGAGGTTTTTCTGGGCAAAAGCAGCGAGTTTTGTCGGAAAATGAAAATAATGTGTCCCCTGTCGCCGCCAGACGCGACTCTCAGACTCGGACTTGATGTGGATCTTGTGGATTTTACGGATGAAGCATAAGCGTAGATACCACTCTGGACCAGCTGTTGGTGCGCGACTCGCTGCTGGCAAGCGATAATTTTCCAGAAAATGTGTGCTTTAGAGGATAATCGAATCCTAAGAAACCATTATTAAAGTTCTGCCTTCCCCTAGTAATATTTCTCATGTCCTTTCCCCTTTAATGAGTCTATTAATCTGAGCTAGCCAATGGTCAAGCGGTGTAACCCTTGACCCTTCCACCAATCCAAAGCTAATTACCGCCACTTGAATTGATAATGAAACTCACGTCATGTTTGCCTTGTCACCCAACCCCTAATAACACGCTCGTTAATTCGTGTTCACACTGACCACACGGTAACCAGGAGGGGAACGCGGGGCAGAACAGGAAGTGACCAGGCGGCCAGTCCGGTCAACTGGTTTACGGCTGACCCGCTGACTTCTGGAGTGTTTGTCCTGCTTTATAGTTTAATTCTATTTGGCTTTTCGCTTTGGGCAGTGCATAAATTAGCATTAGCATTATCCGCAGAGGCCATAGGGGGATTTTATGGCGGTCATTGGGCAATTACCAACGTAATTGATGGGCAAATAGCGCTGCCCGACACTGACCCTATTTTTGCGTAAAGGGGAAACCACACAGTAAAAAATGGGACAATGAAAGTCATACGCCTTTTATTTTGACGGGCCAAGACATTTTGTTCAGAGTTCAGGTGTTGGGCACGTTAACAAGACGGTCCGCAGCTGCTGCAGCATCCACCCCCGCAGCAAGGTCCGCACGGTCCACTGTAAAACCCGCACCGCGGCGCGAAACAGCGGCCACTGAAGCAAGGACTGCAGCAGGGATAGTAGCAGGTTCCACAGCAAGGTCCGCAACACATGACGAGGTCGAGAGTGTTCTAGAGGCACCGAAAATATTATTGGGAAAACACAGTAAAACCGTTTTTGTTAGCTTACGTTTACAACGAAAATCCAAAACAAGAAACAATAAATTTAGATGTTGTCGGGTTCAAGGCCGGTGTAAGACTGAAAATATGTAGCCCGTAGGGGCTGCACACCAACTTGACAGATGGGAGAACCATGATCAAGGCTAATGTGATGTAGAACTTTTGTGCTTAAAAATATTCAAGTAAGCTGTAAGGAAAGTCACTTCGTTTATGGGTCATAGGTTTGTAGGGCAGTTTCCTTTTGCCATTAGAAACCCATTTATGGCGACGGTACAAGCCGGAGCAAGCAACCTTCGTCATGTTATGTGACCAAAACTTAGTTAGTTTTCATTAATTTCCAGATATCCCAACCTCTAATAACCCCCCAGCTCGTACACTGTTACACTTATGCAAATTGCCGGCATTACGAATATTAACAAAATCCCAGGCACATTCTTGGATAATTAACAACCTTCATGCCGTCCATTAACCTGAACTCATGTGCCAAATGTGAGTCCACCACTTGACCATTTAGCGTACCCGTGCGTGGCACGCGTCCTGCGGTCGTACAAATAATGCCAGGCCTAATGACCACTACGCACTTCCGCCTCTGGCCTAAGGAAGTCAAGGACTCAAGGACATGGGTATTTTCTGATTCTGGACATTAACAAATATTCAAATTGCACTGGCCCAGAACAGTCGCCAAGGTGTGTCGCATATTAAAAAGTCATTTTCCAAGCAAATGAGTTAACATTTTCCCTTTGTCGGACCTACTACTGAGGGAAAACTGAGTAGGAGCGAGAAACGGGACGGAAGCACATGCTGTTCGACATGAGCTTGGACGGAACTGCCATACGTGCCGGAAATGCGTGATTTTTGGAGCAGTAACGAATTATTTCCAGATCGATAATTAACTATAACTCATGCCTAGAAGTGGGGAGAAGTTGCAGAGACTACTTATAGATGCGATCAAGGATAAAACTCCTTTTCTCAATGTACTCTTTTAGCACCAAAACCAATGAAAATTAATGACTTTAACAGTTTAAAAATCTCACGATAGCTTCTTTATTTTGCCATACTGCTGGGCGTTTTGCTGTTTTTCATTTAAATTCTGATTCATAAGTTTCGGCAAACGTCAACTACAAATCCTTGAAAATCATAAATATTCTAAACGGATTCCATTCCGTCTTCCATCGCGGTGCCTGGTTCTGCCCCCGACTTCTGTCACTCACTTCTAACAATTTTTCGATTTTTTACTTCTGTTTTTTCAACTGCCTATGAGGCGTGCAAGCTCTGGCAGCCTTAGCTTGAATTGCGGCTTTGAACATCACCTCGGGATCGATTCGGCACTTCTCCGGCTGGGGGCTCTGGTTGTGTTTGTTGTTCGGGCTTGTCATCTGGCTAAGCTCTAAAAATTAATGATGCGCAGAGCATTCGAGAGTCCCTGCTGTCATTGGCTGGGCTGGATATCCAGGATATATGTAAGTATGCAAAAAAAATTAGAAACAAAATTCACATTCGCCGCTCTAAGCTGCGGCTTAGGTTCGCCTGCTCATTGATGAAAATTAATGAGTGTGCGTGTTGTGCCCAGCAAATATTCAAAGGAATATTTTCGGAGATTCTCTATTTGCTTCCTGCCCCGGGACCTAGCTCGTTCTCAGCTCTCGCGCACTCGCCCCACAACGAGCCGCAGACTCAGGCAGCGGACTAATTTGCATAATTACAGCCCGTAATTTTTTCTTTTCTACTCGCAGACAGAAGTATACACACGGACTGCCTGTGTGCGCCCTTCAGCAAAGGGACGCAATTCCTTTTTTGTGTACGGCATTTTTTACTTGATATTTGTTTATTACGCAACCGAACACACGCACTCACACACATTGGCTTGTTCAATTCCTGATTTCCAGCGAACAATGCGCCACTATGCGTTCATACGGGAAATGCTCAGCATAGGGAGAGCTTGACAATATCCTTCACATCCGCCTTTACATATCCACCTTTAAAATAAATACTCTCACGAAAATGATTTGGGCGAATGTCACTCAAACTTAAACATACAACAAAAATGAACGTTACATTACATCGAGAATGGGAATAACTTTGCTTTCATTATACTATTTGTCATAAAAATATACATTCTTAATAATCTGATGGTTGATTTCTTACAATATATTGGATAGGTTTTATAGAAATGAATGGCAAAGAAACGAACTATGTTGTAGCGCCACTTACCTTAATATTCCATATTTCCATTTCCATTTCCTCTGCGTGTATATATATTTATGAGGGTATGAAAGTAATTTACAACTGGATAAGTCGCACAAGGCACACACTAACGGATTCACTTTTACCGCGGATCACTTTCATTTTGGCATAAAAACTTAATTCACCATTGAAACTGTATATACTGGACACAACTGAAAACACAGTCCTGTGATCACTTTTATGTATGCTTTTATCTAGTTTTAACCCTCTTTAGGAGTGCAATTCGTTAGGATGGAAAACTAGAATACCGAAAAAAGAGAAAAAGAGGATTGTTATTAAGTAATATTTCAAAAAACTGTTTCATTCATTTGTGATCTAAAAAATTCAAAAATAACTGCATTTGAATGGGGGAGACAGGAGTTCATTAAGCTTGGCTTCTGGCCAAAACTATTTCTTGAGCCAAAGAAAAAATAAAAAGACAAAAAAAAGAGTTAAAATGAAATCAGACATTAAGGGCGCCATAGTTTATGGGTATTAAAGCTAGCTCAAACTTACTTATTTCATGTCAAATGAAATCATGAAATGTCAAATGTCTTAAAATTATCTACACAAAATGGTAATGATTTGGCAAATGATTAAGTAAGCTTAAACTGAGTTTGGGTAGTTCATATTTTAAGAAGTACGATTCTAAACAGATTAAAACTCAATAAGAACTATTTTAGTTTGTATAAATCAACCAGAGTCCATGGGAAATATCATTAACTTGCTGCGTGGCGAGAACAGTTTTCCCGCTCTCATCCTTGGCAGCTATGTACGAGTACATACATATGTACGAATGCAACCCTCACAGATATTTTCCTTTTTTCGGGGTACATATTCAGATTTTTAAACTAATTTCAAGACGCGCTCTTCTCTCATTTGGCTGGGCTTCCTCTCAATTCAAGGATGGAGTCGTCGGACTCGGGACAATCCGGACTGTGGGTTCATTCCACTCATTAGCATGTGCTCGGCATCGGCGTGGGGGAAAACAGGGAAGAAGGGCAGGAAGTTTCTCTTGTCTGCTTTCTTCCTTTAAATTTATCGATTTTCCTGGATGGCTCGCACTGCTCTTTACCGTTAGTACCTAATGAGCTGCACTTGTGCTCCGATTTGCTCGGACTCTTCCTGGCCCGGGCGTAATCATTCAACTTTACTGGCACCGCTGATTATAATCAGCATAATGTGTACTCTCTTACACTTCAATAGTTCACGCCACGGATCAGCGGAGCTCGGCTCGTCCTTACCGGACCCCTCCTGTCCCACCTGACCTGCGGCATCGATGCGTAGCGGCAATGGAAAGACGCAGCGGACTGGCCAACGCTCCTTTGCCATCTTTCTTATAGGCTCTAATAACCGTAATCAGGTTAACGTTAACGTTCAGTTTACCTACTGATTTGCTGCCACTTGGCAGTCACTCCCATTCCTATTCCTAGGCCAGCTCCAGCCACGGTTCCTGCTCAGTGAATGTGTGAACATTCAGAGCCTAGTTTCTGCAGAGCCGTTTAAGTTTGCAGAATGCCCCGAAGCCGCTAATACAGAAGATTTCAGATACTCGATTTTAATCAAAATGGTGAAGCTGAACCGTTGCTCCGTTGACCAGCCAATAGACCTTTCTCCCGCACGTTAGCTGTTTATATAATTATGATATTTGATTTAATGACGACTTGCTTCCGAAACAATCCAATCAAAAAATTTGATTGAAGTGGGCGTCGCCGCAACAAAACTGCCAAGCCAACTCCTGCAGCCTGCCAGGCGTGAAACTATTCCAAAGGTCAGGCGGCTAAAAGAGTTCCTTACACTTGCTAATAGTTAACCAGCACTGGGAATTGTTTTAGCTGATTTACTGTAATGGGCCACACCAACTGCCTTGTGGTTTCCCTGCAAATTTATAACTCCCCGATCAACCCACTCGCACTCACATGGCCAGGCGATCCCTCGTTATTAAATTCTTAATTTGGAGTCATTAGCAAGTGGCTAGGGTGTCGAGTGAGCAGGGCCAGTGTTTCGATACTCCATGTTGGACAATGAGCCCAGCTGGCTTGCAAGGCTACAACAGGGCCAAGAACACAAGTCTCCACTGTTCCTCGCCAAGAGCAAAATCAAGGCGGCAGAATTTAATACCCATATATCGTTACCAGGCGGCTACAGAACAGCAGTACATGCCGTATGTGCTGGCCACAGGGATCCGAGTTCAGAGATCCGGGATCCGATCTGCGCACTCCTCCTGCCTGCTTTTGATTTTTAAATTGAAAATAATAATTTTGCGCACTCAATTTTCAGCGATTTGTCAAAACATTGTTTATTGTCGACGCCAAGTCCCGATTCTCCTGGAAGACTCCTATGCTTGGGACCGACTCCACATCGCCCTGCCGCTGCTCTCGGTACTCTCTCCTCCACTGCGGCGGCGCACTTTAAGTTAATTGAAATATTTCAGCGATTTTCGCCCTGTGGTTCCTTCTACCTGCCGTCGTGTGTCCGTCTCTGGGATCAAAGGGGATTCCTCTCTGCATGCGGCTGCGATCAAAGAGCTCTTTGCATACTCCTCTCGGCTGCCTCGCTGGCTGCCTTTTAATAGAATTCAACGCTCATTTCTATCGCATGCGATTTATTCCGACGATTTTCGGTTCACGAGTCTTCTCGAGTCCCCCGCCACGGGTTGTGTGCAGAGTTCAATATTGATTTTTATTGCCATTTGACCGCTAGGCGCCGTATTGCTTTTCGATTGACTGATTATTGCTTGTGGAAAAGCCAGCCAGTATTGATATGAGAAACTATGAAAAACAAATATTGGAAAGCGATTTATTCGGACTCAGAGAATCGTGAACGGCGGCTGATTAGCTCTGCTAAGTAAGAGAGCTTTGTATTTGATGATAGCTATCAGAAGATAACCACAACTCCATCGAATTACTTTTGCAGGACTC